AAAAATTAATGTTCCAGTTCTCATGTGACATATTTATTGGAGTGCCCATGTGGCCTTCAATATGTGGGCAGAACAACTAGACAGCTCAAAGTGAGAATTAAAGAACACATAAAAAACATTAAAAAGGATTTTGATAAACATAGCCTTTCGAAACATTTTTTGTTAGTACATGGAAAAAGTCCAAAGGGGCTTAAAATGGTTGGTATAGATAAAGTATACAAACACTGGAGGAGATCTAATCTAAAAATAATATAACCCAAAATGAGACAAAATGGATACATTCATTGAGTTCTATGCATTTGGGGGGATTGAATATTGAACTGGATTTAAAATTCTTTTTTTTTTTAAACAAAATTTTTTTATTCTGTTATTGCGGACAACCCATGTCGGGTAAAACCACAACTTACCAAGATATTCAATACAAATAATACGAGGTTTTCTCAATAAAATTCTTTTTAACCAATGAATGAATTTATGACTGTTTAGATTATGTTATACTATTTATAATTATTGTAATGATTATTTTGTAGCGTTTATTATGATTGGATATTTGCACAGATATTTTAGTTTTAGATTTGGTGTTGTATGGTCTATGTGGTCTTAGCAATCAGATACCTAGATGCCTATTAATTGTCTATTAGAAACACCTGAAGCTGTTGCCTTTAAGGAATAGGATGTTGCCTCAGCATGTTCACCCTCCTTGAAAAAGTCATACTGACGAAACATGTAGCAGGGGTGGAGACGTGCTGAAGGCATTTTGTGATCTGATGTCATGAGGAACTGATTGATCGTTTGATGTGCAGATTATCCTTTGCTTTAATGTAAGAGACTTGTCGTTTTTAATAAATTTTACCTGGCATTATTACACTATTGTCCGTTATCTCGTTTGGGTGGATCACTCACCTGTGTGGGAAGAGTTCGGGGAGTATGCAGGACTTCTAAAGCGGCTGAGGAGGATACGGAGATCCTGGGATCACAGTCGATGTAAAGTGCAGTTTGACCATTGGAATATATGGTCAGGACTTTCTGGTGAGTCTTCATTTTGTAATAGGATACCGGAGGAAGTAACATACTGATTATCTTGTATCTATATGAAATTTTGGGCAGTTAAGAAAATCTGAAGAAAGTCCTTAGTTATCATCATCAAGTGAAGTGGATAGTTTTAATGGAAGATACACATAAACTTTATTAGAGTGAATTCACTTTGTTATGCAGCAATTGGACTGACATATTTAATTTTTCATTTATCTTATTTTTATACATGTTGGAAATGTATTATATTTGCATTATGGTTTTGATAACATTTATCACTGAACAATTTACCAGCGCAGGGTATTTTTGCATTTATAACTTATTGGGTGGTGACCCACACTGCCAGGTTGGATTAATTGGGGGCATTCCTCAGAACCACCTTTTACTAAATCTAAGAAGATTTATA